ACACACACACACACACACACACACACACACATATATATATATATATATATACATATACATAAAATATTATACACACGCACATATATATATACAAACATACATTTATACATATAATACATATATATACATATACATATATATATATTGATATATAACTTATATATATATATATATATATATATTGATATAAAACTTATATATAACTATAATATATATATATTCGAGTTTTGAAGAGTAATGGCATGGGGGCGTTTGGTGGAGATGATAACTATTAAATGTACAAGAACACATTGAACATTTGATATACGTATAAGCAGCATGGAAATAGACTCAAATTTTGTGGAGACACGCTGTTTATAACTATCTGATGTACATACATACACATATGCACATATACACAAAAACACATATACACACATACACATATACACACACATATTTGACACACATAGATACAGAAGCAAATATGCAAACACATATATACACATATATGAATAACATACATCCATACAGAAAACGTATGCGATTACTATCACATACACTCGCATATACCACAACCACGCACAGGCTTACACTGACCAACTCAATCCAAGCCTCCCATCTGTCATCGATTGCCACTACACCACATAGAAAGAAGACGGGGCACACTCGTGTACCTTCTTTCGCTGTAACAAGTATATGTACACTCGTGTACCTTCTTTCGCTGTAACAAGTATATGTGCGCTCGTGTACCTTCTTTCGCTGCAAAAAGTAAATGTACACTCGTGTACCTTCTTTCGCTGTAACAAGTATATGTACACTCGTGTACCTTCTTTCGCTGTAACAAGTATATGTACACTCGTGTACCTTCTTTCGCTGTAACAAGTATATGTACACCCGTGTACCTTCTTTCGCTGTAACAAGTATATCTCTCTGTGTGGCTTCGGGATGAGCTTTTCCATCCCCTCGATGCCTCCCCTGCGTTCTAGGTTAATGTCCATGCCCCACTCCTGCCAGAACTTCGCAGTGTCTTCACTGGCGCGGGTGTGCGACATATCATGGGCCAGGAATTCGGACACGTCAAACCCAATGCCACCCGCACCCATCACAGCGACCTGAAGCCCAGTCCGAAAAAAAGAGGTGCAGGACGTAAATGGTGAGTAAGAAGATTGGGCCGAGAAATTAGGCAAGTCAGGTCCAGGGGAGAAAGCAACACACTGTGTGGGATAGTTTTGCTGAGCTATGTGAAACTCAGCACAGCAGAGTGTACGTCTTTTGATATATATATATTATAATATACATATATATATATATATATATATATATATATATATAT